GGGGGGGGGAGGTTTCACTGCTCTCACTAGCCGACAATTTCAGGATATTTGATATGTGCCGGATATTTGGATATTTCTTATAAAGTGCTCTTCAGACTCATTCTGATACGTGTCTTTATACTTTCAGCACTGTTTGCTACTCACGACTTTGTTTGGATGATGTGGGATTTATCGACAGCATAGCAATCTTTGTCCCTATCTCTGTTTAGCCTAACGTTTGATTTTGTCTAGCTTCGATGCTTCGATATAAAGATGCGTTTACTGTTTCATTTTATTTTATTTTACTTTGTTTTAGTGATTGCGTATGGACAGACGCAATGTGTTATGACTTACACCCCGCAGGCCACCCTTTCGGTAGCATGAATTTTACGTAAGTCGCAGTTAACCCATATCCACCCGTTAATCACGCCCTACTTCTTACGGGTTTACTCTATGTTTAGAGAGTACAGAGATATATGTTGTAAAAACTAGTTCTGTTAGTTTTTTTCACACGATGCGCACGTAAGTTTGATTTCGATATGTAGTTATTTATGCAAAGAAATGGTTAAAATATAAGTATTGCTTGATTTGGCCGTTCGGTCTTATGTAATTCTCCACAGATAACGGCATTTTTTTCTTTTCTTCGTAAATCACTTAATAAAGGTTAAGGTTTCATCTATCTTTCTTTGAACTTAAGGAACCGAGGCATTACGAACCATCTTCTGCGATCGTGCCAAATCCGCTGAAACCTCACGAACACGACTGTCATGTCACGAATACAGCTGTTTCTTCACGAAGCGTTTCCGTTCTTCTTCTAGTTCTGAAGCCTCAGCATCCTCATCTTTTGCTGCTTTTGATTCAAAGTTTTACATTTAATAGTCCATTTCAGTGTGAGTTATTCACAGCTGTATTCACTACTGATGGCGATAAACGAAGATCACGTCCTATGGCAGGTTTTTCCAACTTCATGTTTCTTTATAATTTTTATTTTCATGTCTAGATCAATTTTTGTGTGTTTGCGCATGGGTTCAAATTTTTCCACTTCTCTTCCTTTTTCCAGTCATGATTGAACTACAGCGTACACAAACAGTAAAAGTTATTAAAGCATATGAAAACAAATACACAATTCATCTATGCTCAGTAGTAAACAGAGCGACACTGAGGAAGGCGCACATATGCACCGCGTGGACCGCCTGCCTTCCAGAACTTAACCTCCGTTAGGTGAGTAGCAGTAACGTAAGCGCGTTAAGTAAAATTTTTAAATATACATTTTTGCCTAGTCTTTTGAAGATAAATTATGTAAGTCTGAATTTACGTAAGCCGGGGTCTGTTTTAATTTTTATGCCGGGCTCACTTGTTTTTGCTCTCTCCTTCCCCGTAATTTCTTTCAGTCTCGTTTTTGTCCCTTTTTCTTTCTCGCTTTTCCTTTCCTTCTCTCTTTCTCTCGGTATTTCTCGGCTATAATTGCTATTTTCCTCCGCGATGTGACATTTTTTCTGCTTAATGTCTATATGGTTGTGATGAAGCACTGAATCTAACTAACTAAGTAACTTTTGCGTAAAATCGGTTTACATGGAGACCAAGAGCAGCGATTTACTTCGAAAGCCGAGACCGTTCCTAATCAGGCAGTTTGATTTGTTACTTTTTGTTTCTTGACAGTGTGGATTCTCTTTCTGGTCGTGATTGTTTTGTGATCTTGTGCAAAATCAGTTTCAGTCGGGTGTGACCTTGTAAGAACTGCAAAGTAACGATCGATCTCCATAAGCTTATAGAAGCTAGGCGATTTATACACTTGCCTTCTAAAAACACTTTTCCTCTCGAATGAGCAGTCGGCTTATTTGTTTTAAGAAACGCGACGTTTCTGCGTTGCAAGAACTCATACAACCCGAACTCAGTAATGGAGCCTAGACGCAGTGCAGTCATCCGTCGTTCTGCAGCGAAGAACGACTTCAAGATGTGGATCAAAAAGCGGCGGTGTCTAACTGTCTTAAGTGCCTTTTTTAAGTGTTTCTATTGCTAATGAGTAAATTCTCTTGAATAGACTTTTCCATCTTCCTAATGAAGTATGGCTTTCTACCCTGTTTTTTGTTATAAAAGAAGTCTTGTTTATTTTCGTTTTATTTAGGTACCTTCGTCGGTTATATATGGTCGAAAATAGACGTTTCATTTCATTTCTGAATTGATTGGCCACTGTTCAGTTTGGAAGAATGTCAGTCTGAACTTAAGGAGCACAACCAAGAATGCAAGGTCAAACGTTAAAGAGGTTCAGTTATTGTTTGTTTACATTTGTGAATTTCGTATGTTTCTTTAGCATTATATAGTGTCTCGCAGCTACGTGGCATCCGTTGTAGAATACTCGGATGAAGAAACCGACGATGGAGTAATTCGCAACGGTTTTTTTACTTGACCGTACTTTCTCGTTTCAACTGTTTAGGATTTAGGAACTATGGTCGCCTGCAAAATGTAGGCAAAACGCCGATTCTCAGTCGCTTCCCATTCGTCTTCCCAGACGTAGAAAAGCTAAGTTAGTTTTTTGTTGCAAATAGTTGCCATCGTCATCTAAGACAAGAAAACAAGCACTGATCACCAGAACCGCCGACATAGGAGTTGTGTAACCGTTTGAATAGTGTCTCAGTTGTAAGTCATTTTTTATTAAGGAAGTAGGCAACAACTTGGTCCTGTACGATCCTCGACATTCTCTCAAATTTAGGCTTAATAAAGCACTATTCATTGATGATGACCTAATTTTCTGTTTCATATGCGCACATTTTTGCCAGCTTTGATATTGGCATATACTTTTTCCACTTTTGGAACCAGGACGGCCTCCAGGCACTGTTTTGTTGGTCGTGGCCGTTTTTTTCACTACGTGGCGAAAATGTTTTCTTCCTTATATGTTCGTGAAGAGTGGGCATGGGGGACCAAGTTGTTTCATGACTTCTTCGTTTTTAGGGCTTCAGAGTTGAAGGTTAGTGATTTGAATAGAAAATTTGAAGACTGCCTCGCTGGTTTCTCGCGTCTTTCTCGAATGTGTAATTCATTACGACGCAAACTTATTAACGGATCACA